TAAGGTCATATGAGCGCGCGGGACACATTAAACTTTTTCAGTTGGTAGGAAATTTTTGAATTTTGCCTGGGAGGCGGCCGAAGCCTATTCTTATCGATTTTAGATCACCAAGGGATCTATTACGTGCGCAACTTGCACACGGGCCCTCCGAGATTCCCACCCCTTGGCGCTCATATGACCTTATGCAGTTGCGAGCGCCGTGAAACCCTCTACTATAAAAAAACCCAACAAACTTGGTCATCTCTTTGTGCATTACTTTTTGTTCCTCAGTTTGAGTTTGTGAACTGCTTTATCTGCTTGTTCTACGTAGCCTTCTACCTTCGAGACCGGGCTCTGCTCAAAACGGTGAGGAGATGTTCTTGAACTACACAACGTCATCACAGAAATAGTTTGCTCTCACTCTGTGTAAAAGACATATCACACCTTATAAGTAGTATCATACACAGGTATTGATACAGATTATGTTGTCGTCAATGTGGGTGGTTGGCGGATGTGGTCTGTGTAAAAGACATATCACACCTTATAAGTAGTATCATACACAGGTATTGATACTGATTATGTTGTCGTCAATGTGGGTGGTTGGCGGGTGTGGTCTGTGTAAAAGACATATCACACCTTATAAGTAGTATCATACACAGGTATTGATGCAGATTATGTTGTCGTCAATGTGGGTGGTTGGCAGGTGCGCTGGTGTGATCTGTGTAAAAGACATATCACACGTTATAAGTAGTATCATACACAGGTATTGATACAGATTATGTTGTCGTCAATGTGGGTGGTTGGCGGGTGCACTGGTGGGGTTTGCCACTTCTTTCCTATCAAATATCTATTGTCCTGATCTCTCTTCCTTCTTTTTTTGTATTTGTTACTCGCTTGTAACACCTCTAATCTTCGGCACTTAAATGAGGTCATCTTTTGTGTTGCAAGTGCAGTAAAAAAACTCTTACTAAAACTAAGTAGTATCATACACAGGTATTGAAACAGATGTGGTCAATTGGTATGCTGAGGTTGTCTCTTATTGGTATCTCATATATATATATATATATATATATATATATATATATATATATATATATATATATATATATATATATATATATACACACACTCACACAGGAGGAAACTGTCTTGTGGTATACAATCGTTGGACTAATGTTGCTTAAAGTGCATACAAACACCAGTGTCTGTGGTGGAATGGTTAAGCTGTTTGCTGTAGCTCACAGAAGATAGGAGTTTTCTGAAAACTTAAAAATTTCAAACCATGACTTGGGCGCTAGGTGAATGACACTGACAATGTTCTCTGTTCTCTTCTCGACAGTTCCTGGGCACCCTCCTGGTCACTCAGCAGATTGTTGGCCAGTTCCAGGAGGCCATGGTCCCCTTTTTCTTCATGCAGCGGCGCCAGAAGCAGGTGGACAAGGCCCTGAGAAAAGCCGAGGGGTCGGCCGCTGTCACCAAGGAGGTCACGGAAAGCGACCAGGACGTGGACAAAATGTACAAGAAACAGGCAGCGCTGGAGGGGATGATGGACAAGTGGCCGGTGAGGGGAGGGGGGGATATTTTTTTGGTTTGATTTTTCTTTGGTTTTAGAATTCTTGATTTGGAGTTTTTTTTCAAGCGAGACATCCCACTGTCTCTATGTGAGCTGGGTCAAAAGGTGAACTAGTTGCTATCAAAGCAAAGAAGTGTCCCTTAAGTTTGACAAAAATGTTTATTTAATGTACATGTGTACAGAAGCTTCATCATCACCATTAGCGTCATTGTCATCAAAGTACCTTGGTGGTGTTGGTAGCTTAGTGGTTAAGCTACCGGACTCGTAATCATGAGATTGCGGGTTTGGAGTTTCCAGCCTCAGCTCGGTCCAATGTTGTGTCCTTGGGAAAGGCACTTTACACGAATTTCCCCACTTGACTCGGTCCTTTCGGAGATGGACGTTAAACTCGAAGGTCCCGCCTCTTAAATAACCTACTAGTGTTGATAGGGGCGTTAAACATATACCTTTTCACCAATTTTCAAAGTACCTGTTTTCTTCATTGTCATCAGTCCTGTCTAAGATGGCCACCTGTCTTAGATGATCACTTTTCTCCTTGAAAATGGGTGGCCGTCGCACAGGTTTGACTGCAGTTAGAAAAATAAGGAGACTCGGGTACTATCGTTACACTGGAGTGTAAAGTTTGTAGTTTTTTTATGTCAATAGCTTTGTGGTCTTCTTTTTGTAGGTGGTAGGCAGATGCTCTGGAGTGGTTTGCTCCTTCTTTCCTATAAAAAAATCTATCTTTCTTTTCTCTCCTCCTTTTTGTGTTTGTTACTCTCTTGTAACACCTTTAATCTTCAGCGCTTATTTGATCTAACTGTGTAGCAAGTGCCTGAAACTTTTGACTAAAACAAATAAAATGAAATGTCATCATGTATTTTTTGTCACCATCGTCTTCATTACTGTTATTTAGAGTATCAGTGGGTGGTTGGCGGGTGCTCTGGTGTGGTTTGCTTCTTCTTTCCTATCAAGCATCTCTCATCTTTATCTCCCCTCCTTCTTTTTTGTGTTTGTTACTCTCTTGTAACACCTCTAATCTTCTGGCGCTCATATGACCTTATGCAGTTGCGAGCGCCGTAAAACCTCTACTAAAACAAACAAACTCTAATCATCGGCAGTTATGTAACCTTATTGTTTTGCAAGTGCCGTAAAACTCTTACTAAGACTAAAACAGTGTATCAATATCCTGTGTCTGAGTGCAGGGCTCGAACGACGAGTACCTAGAGATGTACATCCAGTTCGGCTACGTCTACCTCTTCTCTTCGGCGTTCCCGCTGGCCGCTCTGTGGGCCATGCTCAACAACTTCATCGAGGTCCGCTCCGACTCGTTCAAGATGTGCCGCGTGTTCCAGAGGCCGTTTGTGGAAAAGGCAAACAGCATAGGTGCCTGGCAGGTGGGTAGATCGGGAAGCTTTCGAGGGCAGATTAGATAGTTCCTTATCATTATTCACTTTTGAACACTTTGTGGTCACTTGCGCAATGACAATGACAATCTTTATTCATCTCGCAGGGAAAAATTTGTCTTGGTCGTTAACAATGGCAGTAGACGTTACAAAGGTTAGGTGCACTCAGGCATACGAAACAACAAGACAGGACTTTAGTAAATACGTGACAACCAGCTCCGTAAAACATTCTCAATAATGCGACAGTGAAAATGATCCATTCTGGCCACTAGACGCAGTACTCCAACTGGCTTGAGAAGTCTGTTGAAATCCCTCTGCTGGCTGGGTGACTAGATGTGTTTTTTTTGGGTAATAATAATGAATAATAATAAATTGCACTTTGGTTTACTGGGTGACTAGATGGGTTTTTTTTTATAGTAATAATAGATAATAATAATAAATTGCACTTTGGTTTACTGGGTGACTAGATGGGTTTTTTTTGTAATAATAATAAATAATAATAATAAATTGCACTTTGGTTTACAATGGCAGACATACGTACATACATAAATAAATAGTTATTAACACGTACCTACATAAATACATACATAAATACATACATAAATACGCAATATTTCACAAATACAGAACAGTTTATAACCGTGCCACTGTCGGTCGCCACTGTGCAGCGCCCTGTATTTTGAGCTAGGGTTGTCGTGTCTTGCTCAAGGGCACACCCCAGTGACCACCCATCTGATCTCCGTGTCAACGACACTTGCTTGACATTACTTGAGTCTAGACTCACTACTTACCTAGCCACTGGAGCCCCCAACTGATGGTTATGTGACTGCAAAGTGTTGAACAAGGAAGAACAGCCATAGTGGTTGGTTGGGGGGTGCTCTGGTGGTTTTGCTTCTTCTTTCCTCGTACAACTTTGTCTTTATCTCTCCTCCTTTATTTTCGTGTTTGTCACTCTCTTGAAACACCTCTAATCTTCAGCACTTATAGGACTTGATTGTATTGCAATGTCGTAAAGCTCTTACTGTGGGTGGTTGGCGGGTGCTCTGGTGTGGTTTGCTCCTTTTTTTCTATCAAACATCTATCGTCCATATCTCTGCTCCTTCTTTTTTGTGTTTGTTACTCCCTTGTAACACATTTAATCCTCGGCAGCACTTATATGACCTTATTGTGTTGTAAGTGCCGTAAAACATTTACTAAAAAACCCTTACTAAAACCAAAAACAAGGAGTAGTTTCAAAGACACTCTTGTACCTTTCAGCCTGCATTTGAAGTTATCGGCCTCATCTCAGTGATCACCAACTGCGCCCTAATCGGCATGGACCCCGAGGTTCAGAAACTGTTACCCTCAGACATGTCGGCCGTCAACATGGTGCTCATCTTTGTGGCCGCCGAGGTGAGTCGGTCGCTGAGTGCTTTTAACTTTGTTACCTTTGTTTCTGTAGTTTAAATATAAACACCCACTTCTTGTAGTAATCAACATCTGCAGGATGTCCATCGAGAAGTCACAAATTCACATTTCACGCAACCGCCTACTCTACTGTCCCTATCTTGCACTGTACGCTGACCAACTTGCACTGAGGAGTGACAATGCTCTTGCCCCCCGACTGCCACTCACGACTCAGGAGGTCTTCCACAGTCTGTGGCTCATGCCTCGCCCTGCCCTTGTTTTCTTCTTCAATGTCAAATAGGTACTCGATTACTTTTCCCAAAATAAACCTAACTAGCCACAGTTTCTGAGTTGTAGTTTTTTATACCATCCCGACACAGATTATTAAAGTGGGAGTCAGGCTGCTTCCACCCAGACTGATTGTATCCTTTGGACAAAAAGAGAAATATTAAATAAAGTGATAAATCTGCCTTAAGAAACAGATGGAAAAAAGTCCCACCCTAAACACAACAGACGTGACCCCTACTACATGCTAAATAGAGCAGACCAGGTCTCAATCTTTCAACTCTGTTGTGGCCACAACAGACTCAAACACCATATGTACACTAAATTAAAAGTGGGAGAGTCTGCAATCTGTGAATGTGGACATGACCAAGAGGATGCCAACCATATCCTTCAGCACTGCCCGCGCTACGCCACCCTTCGTATACAGACATGGCAGAATGTGGCTCCCCTTGAGAGAAAGCTCTATTGCAGTTTCTCAGATTTGAAGCAAACTGCACAGTTTGTGCTCGACGTCGGACTGACTGTCTAGCTGCTGTCATCCAGAACGAGGAAGAAGAAGAAGAAATAAAGTGACTTTCCTTCTCAGGAATGGAATTTATGTCTTCTGCATGCAAGGAAAAGAGTTTAACCATAATATTGATGATGCGGGTGATATGTTTTCAAGTATTTCAAATATATTGTTCAGTGTTGAGAACATGCAGTGTTATCTACAATAGATCTATTTTAATAATAATAACAACATTAATAGATAGCATTTGTATAGTGCAAATTCCTTTTCAACAGCAAGCTCTATGCGCTTCACAATCTATACTGTTTCTCTAACAGACCTGATAGCTTTCTGAAACAATCTCAACTTTCTGGACGTGCCACTAACATGCTTGTGTCGACAGATAGATGCAGAGCAGTCAGTAGAAAAGTTGCTCAGATTTTAAATGTCATAATTCTTGAGTGGAAAATGTTTGTCATTTATACTGAAGTGATAGCTCGGTTAAGTTTAAATACTATGACTGTTGTTAGAATTCTCAATGAGAGGTTTTGAACTTAAGTCTGAGGTGATTGATTTGGTCTGTTTTAGACAGAAATTGTTTTGGTTGTTGATCTTAAATGGTCCCTTTAAAAGACAGGCGGGCTAAACCAGATTTCGGGGGTTTCCAGAAATCTTGACCTACACCAAAAGTCGGCATTGCCCTACCTGTAAGAGAAGTTTGGTTATAAAGAAACTGAACAAGGGGCAAAAACTTTACCTTCGAATTTCTCAAAACAACATTTTTCGGGATAGCCCCATTGTGCTTAAAAGCGACCAAATGTCCTGGACTAGCTGTTGACTCAAGTCAGTATCAGGCTGGGCTGTGGTGGAAATGTCACTGGTTCAATGACCCAATGGGGCATTCTTGAGTTTGTATTTTTTAATTTTTTTTTGGTGGGGGGGGGTTCTCAAGGTTCTCTTACCCACTTAGCTTTGTCCAGTTGGAGATGAACACATTCAGAGGTTCTACTTCTTATGTTACCGCACAGTGTTAGACAGGTGATTGAACTCTTACTGCCACTAGCTACCACTTGCCTAAATCACCTTAGTGCCCCCCCCCCCCCACCCCCGCGGGCAGTGCCACTGACTGTGGTGTCTTTAGGCCATTCCCGAAGGGGGGACATTTCTCGTTCATGCACAGTAGAATTGTAAATGGGCTGATTCATGTCACGCTCATAACTGTGCCTGATCTACAACAGTGAACTGCTTCTTTTTCTTTCCTAATCCTTACTATTGTCATTTCCCTCTACTTCTTTTGTATGTTTGTCACTCTCTTGTGACTTGCTATTTCCGGGGTGCTTTGATAGTCAAAGCAGACTTTGTGCTGTTGAAGCTAGAGAGGTGAGCAGAGTAAATCTGATTCCCTGTAAAGACTTCTCTGTTGACACCCACCCCTTGGCGCTCATATGACCTTATGCAGTTGCGAGCGCCGTAAAACCCTCTACTAAAACTAAAAACCTTATTGTTTTGAAAAGGATGTTATTCATATGGAGAGAGATCTTTCTCAGATCTTGGTCCTTTTATGTGGAACAGATTACCCATGGAACTAAGACAAACAAGAACACCTGATAGCTTCAAAAGACATCTTTAGCATTTTCTGTTCCTACAGGCCTATCCTTCATAAGCCTTTATTTTTATTTTTATTATAGTTGTTTTGTGCTTACGTCTGAATGAAAATACTGTGTGTGTGTGTGTGTGTGTGTGTGTGTGTGTGTGTGTGTGTGTGTGTGTGTGTGTGTGTGCCTGCATGTTTTCATAAATATATATTGCATTATTTGCATGAGAAGAAAGGAAGTAGTACGAAAGGTTTTGAAAATGGATTTTCCAATGTAAAGCGCGTTGAGCTACTTTTTTGGAAATGCGCTGTATAAATGTTATATATTATTATTATTATTCCCTAAGTCTATTTTGTCCTACTTTTATCAATAGATCTGGTGAATCATTCATTAATTTGATTCCATCCCTCAGCACATAGTCCTGGCCATCAAAGCGAGCATAGCGCTGCTCATCCCTGATGTGCCAAAGTGGGTCATCTTGCAGATTGCCAAACAGGAATATGCGGCCAAACAGGCACTGCGTAAACAGGTGAGGTTCTCGACACGTGCACCCTTAGCTAATCCTGGCCAATCCATGCATGACAGCATGGCTGCCTCAATCCTTATGTGGGCTCATACTGGCTGTTCTGCAGATATTTAATTTGAAAAAAGTTTTTATATATATATAATTTTTTTTCTCGCACTAACCAAATAAAAATATTATATACTGACAGCTGAATAGATTTCAAAATATTTCAAGTGTAGCACTGAGCCTAGAATTAAAGTAAGTAAGGGATAGGTTTAGCAGATAAGGGTTCTTTTTAATATAATTTTGTAATTTCACTCTGTTAGTATTCCATCTGTTCAGATGCTTAACTCTTTAAACCCCATCGGATGCTGAGAGCATCCAGCGGTGAGCGGTTATAACCCTGCTCCCCATCGGATGCTTCTTCCAGCATCCGATACTAGTGACAACTGTTTCATTTCATTTAGTGCTAGTTTTTGCTTGTTTTTCTTAACTGTCCCCGAACCAAGTTTTTTAGTAATGACTAAGCCTTTGTTTCCGCTATTTTGAAGTTGGAGGCAAACTTTTGGGGTTACAATGAGACATAGTGCACCAGGTTTAGGTGGGGAAACGGTGGAAAAAACTGAGGGTTTAAAGAGTTAACTCCATGAAGTTGCTGGCCTCTGAGCGCTGAGAGCACCCTGTGTCACACTACTTTGGCCTTTTTATCAACTCTCACTGAAACACAAACTGTCCATTCTATTCCCATATATGTAGGCATTTTCTTTAAGTTGAACACTTCCTCTGGCAGGAAATGTAAAGATATTGTCAATAGGATCGTCCAGAAAAATATTATCGTTAGTTGAAAAATACATGTTCGAGACGTTTTGTTTTGCTTGAAGCTCCTCTAGTGCGAACACCTGTGTGATAATGTAAGCGGCTATTTGACAGTTGTGAGAAATAAACAGAGAAGACAAAATTGTTGACACAGATGTATGCGACGTAACATCAGTGAGTTAAAGATGCCAGCTTCTACTTTTCTCCACCATATGTAATATTTAAGATTAAAGAATGGTTTTATGTTTATAAAAGGGTAGTGTCAGTATTCAAGAGTGTTATACTGTTGCTTAGCCTTAAATTTAGATAGCTTACTAAGCTATGCTCAGTTGTAGTGCTGTTTTCTTGCTGTTATAATTCTTTCCTGTGTTCTCTTTTAGTCAAGTTTGTATTTTAGGCTGGCCTATAGAATAGCACTTTTTCCAGCTCAAATTTGTAGAAAGCTTAATTTCAATAGTGATATCTTGTCATGTCGTATTATGAAATATTTGATCTGTTCTTTGAGTTGGATGCCTTTTCTCTCTCTCTCTCTCTCTCTTGATTTCTGAAGCTTTTTCTACTGGTACTTAGTCTTAGTGACTTTTATTTTGATTGAAGTATGTAAGATAATTTTTTTTCTTTTTATGGTAAGGGTGCCACTTTTCTTAGAATCGGGAAAATTAAAGTGAATTTGTACATTTTTCAAAAGTTTTTTTTTTTCCTGTATCATGGCAAAATTGAAGACAAACAAGGCAGGGGTAGGACCAGAACAACATACTTAGGAAACCTAAACAAATGGGTAGCGGGGAAAGATCAGGGAAACGTAGCTTTTTTGAGAGCATCCAAGCAAAGGAATGAATGGAGCACCATGATCGCGGATGTCTGTCGCAGATCTGGCGCTGGATGATGATGATGATCATGTTTGTAACATGGGCATATCCTTTAGTTTGTAGTCAGATCTGTCCTGAAGTCTTGTTTAGTCCAGGTGGCACACTTACCTTTAATTTATCTATTGAGATTTTGCGTTAATAGCAAAATTGTTGTTACAAGTTTTTGATGCGAGTGTTTGTGGTCAGACGATAATTCTTCCATTTTGCAAGCTAGTGGGTTGTTGGCGGGTGCTCTGGTGTGGTTTGCTTCTTCTTTTCTATCAAACATCTATCGTCTTTATCTCCCCTCCTTCTTTTTTGTGTTTGCTACTCTCTTGTAACACCTCTAATCTTCAGTACTTATATGACCTTATTGTGTTGCAAGTGCTGTAAAACTCTTTACTAAAACAAATTTTGCAAGCTCCCCCTTCATCAGGGTCAAGGACTGGATGACAAAAAAACAAACTACCTTTCTAATTTTCTTTTTACAGATGAGCGAAGATTCTTGCAATAGCAAGTTCATGATGAAAGTTAGTTGCTTTCAGATAACAGACCTCTTTTTACTCTATCTGTTATTGTTTTTTTGTTTTTTGTTGTTCTTTTTTTGACATCAAACTATGCTGTTTATCTGCACTTGTCTGGGAATAATGTATTATGGGAACAGGAATCGTATTTCTGCTTACTGTGTCAGACATGTGGAATCTAGTTCTTTGCTGGTGGCAGAGATATATCGAAAGGGGTGCAAGTATCACTTATAATGGAAATTATCCATCCTGAATAATGAATTAAGTTGAGCCATTCTGAGAAGATTCTAGGCTAATACAGAATTTTTTCGTTCTCTGGACCCCAACCCTACCATCTAGATGTGTGCTTTTCCCTCTGTTGCTTAAAAATGATTGTTATTAGTCAGTGTGCAATGTTAGTTTTAATCTAAGACCAATCATATTTCTGCCTATCCAAAGAGGAGGCTGTCATGTCAACTTGATCACTAAAAGATCCAATGTCAATTGAATATTACGCCAGTTTAATTGGACTGCTCTTTGTCTCTCAATGAAGTTTGAACAGTTTCTATAGTTAAAGCCAATAGTAAAATATTCTTCTTCTCAGAATGTGTCAATAACAGAATTATCTGTAGACACAAACATGATTTGTATGCCTATGCTTTTCTGCACCACGGTCTCTCGTATGACATTATTTTGGTACCGATATTAACTTTGCATGTACTTTTTTGTTATTGATAACTGAAGCACCCTTTCCTCAGCACGGACCGCAATCAAGAAATTTTGGCTTGATTCTATTTTTGGCTTCACCTAATATCTTGTGTGGCATCAATTGGTGATATCAGACTCTCATCAAAATAGGGAAACCAAAGAAACTGACATTTTCCCACCCTCTGAGCAAATTCTATATATTTTTAAAAATTAGCACAACACATGTTCTGGCCATTTTAAAACACATTTCCATGTGGAATTTACTGAAAAACGTTGGTTAAAAGCTTTAAAAAAAATGTAAATTTGCAGTTTCCAAGGACTTTCAGGCTTTGGAAGTCTCAAAACTATGATGGCCATTTTCTTGCTAATTAATTTTTCCTCTGACACCTCCTTTTATTGAAAAATCTTTACTTCTATGCAAGACAGATGGGTGATTTTTCATCAAATGCAAGACATACAAGACAAAGTAATAAGCTTTAGGATGATACCAATAACTCCATATGCCCAAAACTTGATGATTGCCTGATTCCACTGTGCCTTAACACATACATTTGTGAGGCAGCGTGGTGGAATCAGGCTCTCGTCAAAATAATCAAAGTGAAGAAACTTGCATTTTTCGCAGGTTTGTGAATTTTTATCAAATTTTTGTTTTTAGGCTCATCACCTTTCATGCCCCATTAAAGAACTCATTTCTGTGTGGATTTTCCTGAAAAACGTTAATTAAAGGCACAAAATATTGAAATTTTCAGTTACCACTGACTCTTAAGCTATGGAAATAACTAATCTTTAGCAGCCATTTTCTCATTAACTTTTCCTCTGAAAACAGGTGACCCCCATCTCCTTCATTCGCAAATATCTTGACTTGTATTCAAGATAAATGGATATTTTTTCCATCCCAATAAATACAAGTGAACAAGCTTCAAGATGATACCAATAACCTCCATATGCCCAAAAATTGATGAGTTCCTGGTTCCACCGTGTCACAATACATATGCTATCTGCATTATAATACCTCACGCTTTCAGCTTTTTACATAGATTATTTAATCGTTTTTAAAGACAAACGGGCTAACCCAGATTTTGGGGGTTTCTAGAAATCACGACATGCACCAAAAGTGGGCATTGCCCTGCCTATAGGAGAAATTTGGTTTCAATGGTGTGTATATTTGTTTGGTTATAGAGAAAACTCTCCTTGTTTTTTAAAGAATTTATCTTCGATTTTCTCAAAACAGCATTTTTCGGGATAGCCCCCTTGTGCTTAAAAGCGACCATTTTTGCATTGATGTTTTTACTTGTATGCACCTATTCATGTTGTTCTGCTCTTGTGACCGTGCGGCATACAGTGTCTCCATTTTTTGACCTGTTTACTGACTGGATGATGACTCTGCTTGGTTTTTTGCGGAGCATGAGGTGAAAGAGGACAACAGTATACTGTATTTCCACTACTCACTACTTACTGGCTAGCGGGCGGCTCTGTATGATTAGTTTCTGTGATGTCATACACAAATGAAAAAACTATATGAGTTATGTGCTTCACTGGTGTCTTTCTTTGTTGGGGTGGGTGGTTGGCGGGTGCTCTGGTGTGGTTTGCTTCTTCTTCTTTCCTATCATACACCTATCGTCGTTATCTCCCCTCCTCCTTCTTTTTTTTTGGTGTTTGTTACTCTCTTGTAACACCTCTATTCTTCGGCACTTATATGACTTATTGTGTTGTAAGTACTGTAAAACTCTTACTAAAACTTTTAAAAAATCTTGTTGAGGGTAGGTTCTGATGTCCTCAGTTTTCCTCTCTATATCATCAAAGAAATGTTCAACTCTGTGTAACCGGTGTTTCTCTTGTTTAACACACACACACACACACACACACACACACACACACACACACACACACACAAACACACACACAGACACACACACACATTTTATACATATCCAAAGGTTTGTACTTTGTTTTAAAAAACCCCCAGAGTTTGAGGGTGTGTAAAGTAGTTGTCTCTCTGTTGAGGATTATGAGTTTGTCAATGCGGAAATGAGGTCAGGATGTTTGTCAGTAAAAGTTCTGTCAATGTGTAATCTCGCGCAAGGGTGCTTTGGAAGGCAAAATAGTTTCTCTTGAGAGAGACGTGCGTGCCTCTATTTTGTATTTCCACTTTGCATTCATGTATTCAGAATGTCAAATAGAGATTGCAGTGCATTCATGTATTCAGAATATCGAATAGTGATTGCGGTGCATTCATATATTCAGAATATCAAAATAGTGACTACGGTGCAAATGGAACTTATGGTAGTGGAACATCTTTGGTTGGTCAGTAGCAAGGCATTACCAAAAATATTTTTAAAATTTCATCAATAAATGCATGTAGTGCATGAATTTACCGTATATTGCATGAAATACAAACCGTTAAATTGGGCTATGGTTTTTTTACCATTCCCTCAATAATTTATTATTACTTTTTACGTATGTCAAGCACTGATGGTTAGGTCATTATTATTTGTAAATTGTACTTTCAATGTGTGATTTGTATATAATATTTTATAATTCTGAGAAAAGTTAACATTTGACCTTATGCAGTTGCAAGCACCGTAAAACCTCTACTGGAGCTAAACTGAGAAAAGTTTCTCTTTCATTGATCCCAGTATTGCCTTACTCTGACTTAAATTGTTTGTGAGCACCTAGATAATCCAGCAGTGTCCAAGGGCTGTAATATCCATAGATCAAGCTCATGCACAGACACTTTCAAGAAACATTTCAAAAGCAAGGCAAGCAAAGTACAGTGATGTCCATCTAGCAGCAACCCCTTTCGGGAAGCAAGCCTTAGTTGCAAGGCTCATTGGCTGAAGTTGCTGCTAATAGAATTTTCAAAGGATGCACAAGTCCTAATCGTAGAGTGTGATGATGTTGTTGAATTACTTCAGAAAGTTGTAACATGGGTGGCGTCAATTGTCAAGGTTTTTTTAGTTTTAGTAAGAGTTTTACGGCACTTGCAACACAATAAGGTCAATTAAGTGCCGAAGATTAGAGGTGGTACAAGAGAGTTAACCAACATAGAAAAGAAGGAGAGATAAGGAAGATAGATGTTCGATAAGGAAGAAGAAGCAAACCACACCAAAGCGCCTGCCAACCACCCACTGTCAAGGCTTAACCAGATCTTGTACTTTCAAGTGAGCAGATGCTGGATGGCAGGGCAGTAATGTTGCACACAGTGGCCAAGAGTGATATCCATGGGTGGTTGGCGGGTGCTCTGGTGTGGTTTGCTCCATCTTTCCTATCAAACATCTGTCGTCCTTATCTCCTCTCCTTCTTTTTTGTGTATATAACACATAATCTATTCTTCAGCTCTTATATGACCTTATTGTGTTGCAAGTGCCGTAAAACTCTTTCTAAAACTAAGACTTGATATCCTGAACCGAGAGACTCCCGGAGGAAGGTTATTCTTAGCAAGAGAGAGTGTGTACTGCGATAATGTACGCAGCGTAGTCTGTCCCCGGAGTTTTATGCACCTTGATTAATTTAGCAAAATTTGATCATTTTTTTCTCCTAATTTCTGACCATTTTCCTTTATCATTCTTTGTTAAAATTAACAGAATCGCATAATTTCACAAATTTTTGGGCTCAGTTTACATAATTTCATTTTTTTTGTGTGTGTGCATAAAACCGCCGGGACAGCGTAGTGTATTTTTGGCCAAAACTTGTCGTGATGAGATTAACTAGGGAGGGTTGATGCACAAACACTGATGTATCTTATCTTATCTGAACTTGCAGGCCGGTCTCTGTGTTCACATTGTTCTTGAATCCAGAAAAAAAAAGAAAAAAGATAATCTATAGCTGTTAAGCTTGCTATTAAAGGAAAAGGATGCTTTTAAATATTTTTTTTTGCCGTACAGAAAAATTTCTACTACATGAAAAGAGGTTGCTGTTAGATGGATATTGCTCTTATCTGGGCTATTGTTATGTGGACGCTATTGTACTGACCTCAGCTGTCATTTAAGTATTAAAACATTTATTGATATGAGTTTGATCAATACCTTAGTGAGTGTTTTTGCTGTTTTAAAAAACACAGTCAGAATTTTTTCAAAATAAATAGGTAAAATAATTTACATTGATAATGTAATAGAAGTGTTTTTAATATAAGTTTTTGTAAATGTAAGTTTTTGTAACAGTATGCTTTGATTTGCATTATGTTGTATGTTCATCATGCACTGCATGCAAGATTTATATATATCTAACAGGCTGAATGTAATAGGACAATGTGTACCTTACTGCATTGAACAAGAAATCAGGTTTCCCATGCTGACAAGTGGCAGATAGATGTAGACTGG